GCTTTAAAACATAAAAACGTAGCATGAATCTTAAAAGGTCTTATTAATGAAAACAAACCCAGATATTAAACCTAAGACGTTGATAATGCTAGACTAGCACTGTACCACCAAGATTATCCTCCTCTTGATTTCCAGTTTTTCACAGCATTTGCCTTTAGTTAGTAATCCTGCTATTTTATTCCTCTGCTACTGAAAGTTACTAAAAATTGCAAATTAGGGCCAGTGATAGGTCAGAGGGTAAAGACACTTGCTGCCAATCTTGAGGATTTGAGTTCAGTCCCCAGGACCCACATGGCGGAAGGAGAGAACTGACTCTCCTCCCAAGTTGTCCTCTATTCTCTACACTTAAGCCATGATGTATGTGTGTGTGTTTCTGTGTGCCCCTCCCACAATAGATAGATACTTGTAAAAAAAATTCCAAAAAAGAATAGAGAAGTGACTATTACTACAGGGTCAATCTTAATAGAAATGAATTCTTAGTTTGAGAAGAAAGCCAGAAGACTTCCACCACCCACCACTGGCTGCCTTCGGCACACACATGTTTGGGAGGTTCTGACCTTCAATTTTCTGTGCTTCCTTCTCTTGAAAGCTGTTTGTTGTTTTTCTACATAAGAAGATACTAGGCAGAATTTTAGGGTTATATTTCCTTTAGTATTTCAGGACTTCTGCCTTCATAGATACTAAGACTATTTTGGGACATTTCTGTGGGATGACTCCTGATGTCATTACAGTCCTTGCCAGAGTGCCCTCTAATCAGTTACTGTGAAGGTTGAGGTTAGCAATTGCTGCCTCAGTTTTCACACGGAGAGTTTACAACCTCTCTTTTGTTGATATAAAAGTGTCCGGGCTGGCTTCAAATTTACAGTCCTGCATCTGTGTCCTGAGTGCTGGAATTAGATACTCACTACTGTTGGGTGATACTGTTTCTGGGGCGATATGAACAAACATCTTCTTACCCCTGACCAAAGTGAGGGTACTACCAAAGTCCAACTTGGTAAACCAGTGACTTTATTGGAATTAATTACAGGAAAAGTATGGGTGACGGGTTATTTATAGGAGAAGGAATGATTCAAAGACACCTGCATTACCAAAACCCACCCAGTGTGAGTGATGGTTCACAGAAGTTGGAAACCTGAAGTGCACTGCACACCTTGCAGGCGGTTCAACAGGTGTTTCTTCAGGCAGCTTATCTCTTGTCTGAGAGTATCTGTCAGCAGTTCTTACTATGTGCGTGCGTGCGTGCATGCATGCATGCATGCATGTATGTATGTATGTATGTATGTATGTATGTAAGATGGTACCTAGAGAATGTTGTCAGTTACAGGAACTTCCTGAAACTTGTGAGTTCTTTACGTCCTGAGCTTAATGAGCTTCCCTGCAGGATAGAATGCTTTACTTTTCTTTAGCACATCCTGTGCCTTAAGAAGCATCCGAGATGAAATATTTTATCTCAGAAGAAATTATTACACAATAGCCACCACGTCTGGCTATTGGTTTTGAAAATATATAGGATGTATACTTTAATGATCATATTTATTTATCTTTATTTTTAAAAGTATTTGAAGATTATAGACTCTTGTAGTAGTACTTTCTCATCAGGACAGCCAGCCTGCAAATAATGACATGGAGACTTATTAATTATGAAAGCTCAGCCTTAGCTTAGACTTGTTCCTAACTAGTTTTTATAACTGGAATTGAACTCATATTTTTTAATATACATTCTTCTGTAACTTGTTACCTCATCTCCATACTGCCCATCCTGCTTCCTTTGCATCTGGCTGTCTACTCTGCCTTTCTTCTTCCCAGAGTTCTCTCTCTGCGTGGAAGTCCCACCTATACTCTCCTGTCTAGCTATTGGCCATTCAGCCTTTTACTACACCAATCACAGCAATACATCTTCACATAATATACGAATATCTCACAACAGACTCAATAAGGAAGCTGGTGTCTTCCCTCTATCTTGGGATGTAACTACTCATGGGAATGAAAGAGTAATCTTTAGGTAGTTGTGGAATTACCTACAGTCAGGGAGATATTTACAGATTACCTCTACTTTTGTCTAAATATTTCTCTCTCATTTTTTTCCTATGTTCAATTACTGGTACACACACACACACACACACACACACACACACACACACACACACACACACACACAGACCTAAGCCTGACTTATCACATTCCTTGATTTCAGGACAAACCAAGTTGCAACTAGGATAGAAACTTCTTCCCTGCTGGCTAACCCTCATAGTGGGGAGAATTGTAGGTGAAAGTCTTCCTCAGGTGTGGAGCCTGTGTCCAGCCAGGCAAGATGAGTTCATTGTTGCAAGGTCATTCTCTGCTACTGTAAACTTAATCAAAAACCTATAGCTGGAATGATTCTAATCCCTAGAGAGGAAGCTCCTGCTGTTGTTTTACTAAATAACATGATGTTTCTGTCAAATTGCCCTCTAAAAAACTGTGCCCCTTCGCTAGTGCTGCTGTTAGCTTTGGTCAGAAAAGCTTCTTTTGCAGAGGTGCTGGTGAGACTCACAACTGGCTAAACGACAGAGAATAAATTACTGTTGAATGCCCAGTCACAAATGGGACATCTGTGACTCTATGGCTCAGAGAACATTATGGAAGAAGGGTGGAGAAAAATGTAAGAGCCAAAGAAAAGGAGGGGAAGGTGTGGAATACTGACTTCTGGGCATGCTATTGCATGGCTGATGTACTTTTGAACCTACAGCAGTTGTGACTACCTGTACAAGATCTAGCCTGTCAACACTGTATCGTGGAAGGGGGGATTTATATAGAATTGATAGTTCATGAAGGTTCAGTTGCCCATCTTCCTGTATCAAGCTCTCACTGTGCTACTATAAACAGCCCTAATGTGACTCATTAGGTTAAAAAACTACAAGACACCAACCACAGTTAAGAATGTGTGAAAACAACAAAGGACAATTCCCTCAAAACAAGCATAAGCATATCATGAACTGATGAGAAGCCAAAGCAAAGAGAGCAGTTTAAAAAGGGAAAGCATGGCACATAGCGGAACATTGGTACCTATCCACATAAACAAATAGACAAAATGCCTCTCTATCTGCTTACAGGAGAACAATGGAAGAAGAAATGTGTAATGTGCTTTGGTATTCCCCACAGTTTTTGGATGCTTTTGAAGTAAGAAGAACTCACTTTCTTCCTTCTTTATATTTTAGTTCAGGTTAATTTCTGCCATCCTCAGGTGTATTGTTTCTTTTTTCAGTGATTTGAAGTATGCTGTTTCAGTATTTGTGTAAGTGCCTGTTAGGGCATTGTTCTTTAGGCCAGCAGTGGTGGCGCACGCCTTTAATCCCAGCATTTGAGAGGCAGAAGCAGATGGATGGATCTCTGTGAGTTAGAGGACAGCCAGGGCTACCCAGAGAAACCCTTTCTCAAAAAACCAAAAACAACCCAACAACAACAAAGGGCATTGTTCTTTGGCACTGTGTTTTCTATTCTAGCACTTGCATTTGGTTCTTTATGATTTTCATTTCTTTGTAAAAATTCCCTGTCTCACATTGCTATCTACCTTTTCCATTGGAGCCTTTACTGAATTATTGAGCCCTACTTTAAATATTCTGGCTGTTCCAAAATGTATGTCATGAGTCTGGCCTTGATGATTATGTTGTCTCTACAGGATGTGTTTATTTTATTGCTGCCTTTAGTGTATTTGTTCAAATTTTTGTTCAAAGGAATATGTGTTTTATATAATAAATACTAAGGAAAATACTGGATATATTTGACCACAGGTTCCTGTCTGCTAGTAGTTTAGAATGGGGGTTTGTTTAGAGTGGCGATCTATTTAGAGTTTGGCTATGTTTGGTGTTTATTATTGCTGTGGGTTACGAAGTTGACATTCATCGTTGCCATGGTAACCAAAGGCTTCAATTTTTTTCTTAGTAATCTTTGTTCCCTTTGTGTCTGCTTGATTCTCATTTTTTTGAGCCTGTTCTCAGAATGCCTTTATTTTCCAGCTTCCTAGTTGTGTTCTATTGTTACTTGTATTTAGATTGGTGTTGGTAGTAGAGGGCCAGGAGAGTTCTGTGATGTTCAGGTACCAGAGCCTGGGTCTGGGGATGTAGTCATCACAGGACTAAACAGTACTGTCCCCTTCTTTGTTTTTCTATGACTAGCAGGTATCCACAAGTAGGTTTCAGACTTTCAGTAGACTACTGCTGTGAGGTAATGTATCCTAGTTTGTTTTTATGTCTCTTCTGTAGTTTCTACTTTTTATTTTGTATTGTCCTATTTTACATGTGTGTTTTGTAAGTACCAAAGTTATTTTTTTTTTCATTAATATTTTGTGTCTTTTGGTACTCTCATATTTAATATAATTACTAATATATTTGGGTCTACTTTTGCTTTTCATGTGTTACACCTATTCTGTGTTCCTGCTTTCTCCTCTTTTGGGGGTTTGTATCTTTAAATTCTATTTTTTCTTTGTACCAGTGTAGTGTTTCTCCTGTTGGACTAATGGGATTACTAGTCACCTGTCACTCTCAGGAATAAAATACTCTATGTACATGTAATACAGTACACATTTAGTTTTAATAGTAGCATAACAAACAGGATTCCGTTTTCTGTCTCTTTGATGGCAAATCATGGGTATAGCTATTCCTCTGGACCTGAAAGATCGATGAACCATGCTCGTTTTGTTTTTTTAAGTACTTTACAGTTTTCTCAGCCTAACCCAGGAGTTTACAACTATAAACTTTATTTTTCCTTTGTCACCTGTCTTGTATAAACCATGCTAAGCCAGGTAATTATTCAGGGTAAAATAGGCTTATATTAAAATATAGAAGAAGTCTCTGTCATTATAAAAAACTACAAGGAGTTTAAAAAACTGATTTTTAATTTTCTTCTGAAAGGGAAGAATGTCGACAGTGTAAATACAGCTGTGACTTAGAAACACTGGTCATAATAGGATCTTTACTGAGAACTTTATGGAAAGGGATTCCAAAGGAATCAAGAGAACGAGTTGGGAGTTCAATTTTTTGTCTACCATGTGTACAAGTCACTGTCTGTTGCTGTGACAGATGTCTGACAAACATTTTAAGGGAAGAAGGATTGATTTTGATCTGATTTCTAATGGTGACTATCTGTAATCATGATTCCAGCCTAGCTCTGTGTATGTGCATGTACAGTACATGCATATTCATGTTCCTGTGGGTGTGTGTGCATGTGCTGTGGAGGTCAGAGGCCAGGAGTCAGGTGCCATCCACTTTTTTTTTTTTTTTTTTTTAAAGACAGGCTTTCTCACTGGTCTGTAACTCACCAGTTTGCCTGGCTGGCCAGCAAACCACAGGGATCCACTTGTCTCCGCCTTCTTAGTGGTTCTGGGGTACAAGAGTAGGTGTGTCACTCCTGGCTTTTCATGTGGGTTCTGGGATCACGCTTAGGTTCTCATGCTTTACCAACCGAACAGTCTTTCCTGCTCCTAGTTTAGCTCTCTCTTGATGCTGTGTACTGTTTTCAGCTTCCAAGTATACAAATCTTGTTTTCTTCCTAGGTGAGTTCCCTGAGAGTAAATTTGTATTTTGTCTCTATAATGCTGAGTATATAACAGATATTCCTATGATGCTTCTGTAATTAAATTGTGTCTCTAGTGATGGCTGTTAAAAGCTAGTTTTCCAGGAAATTTTCAGTTTTGATGCATTACATTTCTCAGTTGTACATAGTAAATAGATTTTTTTAATTCCCTCCATTTTTTCCTTCCTTCCTCCTCACTCCCAAGTTTTGAGGTAGGATCTCACTATGTAGCCCAGTATGGCCTGGAGTTTGTTAGGTGTCCAAGGGAAGCCTGGGTCTATGATCTTGGGGTCATATGTGTTAGGGTCATAAGTATTAGGCCTCTCTGCCTGGCTTTAGAATGCCTTTCAATGAAAGCTTGCAGACATTTGCAAACAGAAGTACTTGAGAAAATGTTTATGGAATTGTGTTTTCTTGTGCCTCTTTTTAAATTTCATGTGAGTTCAAGACTACAACTGATATAGTATCTGTTTGTTATTCAGTACAGTCATGCCAAAATATTTATTGTAACTCTGTGACAACCCCACCCTGCCCCTGACACAGTCTCATTATGTGGCTCTGCCTACCCTGAGACCTTCAGTGCATACCAGATTGGCCAGAAATTGGCTGTCTCTGCTTCTGAAGTGCTAAAAATGAAGGCATGTACCACTACACTTGGCATGTTCTCTTTTTTCTTTTTTCTTTTTCTTTTTTTTTTATAATTTATTTTATGTATGAGTGCTCTATCTGCATGTATGCCTTTATGCCAGAAGAGGGCATCAGATCCCACTACAGATGTGATTGCTGGGAATTGAACTCAGGACCTCTGGAAGAGCGTCAGTGCTCTTAACTGCTAAGCCATCCCTTCAGCCTCCATTCTCTTTTTTCAATGCTGATATTTTTTGTATTTTTTCTAATATATTTTCTTTCTTGACTACAATTTTTATTTTTTACATTTTTAAAAAAATTAGAAAATGCTGACAAAAACCTAAAAAATGACTTTACCCCTTCTACTGGTAGAACATAGAATTGGAATATTTTGTATACTGTTAGCCTTCCCTGTGTGTCTGGAATAGGTGAGCTCCAGGCTAAGTTTCACTTCTGTTCTTATGCTTATTTTTCAGCTCTTCCTAAAAGGACAGCTGTGCCCCCTGGATGTGCTTGAGGACGAGCAGTGAAGGCAAGTATCCAAGTCTTCATGACCTGTGAAAGGAACTTGGCTCACTGCCAAGCATAAGAACAAAAACGTTAACAAGAAAAAGGAACAAAACGAAATAATTTGTGTATAATTGAGGATGGTTTTGTGGAGTGCCCTTTTAAACATTTGTTGGATTTTAAAAAGCAATTTTCCATTTTATTTCTAATATTAATTCAAAGCAACTTGCTTCCTGCGTGTGTACTTACCATCTATTATGTCTTAAGCAAAACTGTGGTAGAAAAATGAATTGTGGGAAATTCTGAGAACTGAATGAACTAACTAGAAATGTGCGGTTATTTCATGGCTGCTTCTTGCTATTCTTTGCCCATATTTCACATCTCTTGTCATGGCATTTTGCTCCTCTTTCTTTTTCTCTACCTTGTCCCCTTTACTATAAGAATGTGACACTTTAGAGATAATAAGTGAAAGAAAAGCCAAGTCCCTCTCTTACTAGAGTACAGTTAGCTTCATAGTGGAGCCTTATATATGGCAAGCCAGGGATCTAAATGTAACTTTGAGTTTCTTTATAAACTGATCAACAGTTACACTTATTCTAGGATGACTATCTTAGGGAAGAAAAAGGCAGGCCATCCGAAAGTCTTTTGAGATTGCTGAGTTCCATGAGTGCTAACATTCTTACTATCAGTATTTGCAGAGTTATGACAGTATTATTGTCATTGATTATTTTGCTGTAACACTTGATCTTCATTAGTATTTGGCATACCTCAACCAAGGACCTTAGAGATCTTCTGTATAGAGACTGGAGGAGCCATCACAATTCTGACCATGTTCTATTTGTGTGATGTCACAGCAAATGATAGCTGTACCCCTTACCAGGTTACATCTTCTATCAGAAGTAGATAATCACAACTTACTGCTTAAAACTCAGCTTGGGTGTATTTAGGGCTGTATGTTCCATGAGCCTGTGCTAACTAGTGTAATTAAGATAAGTCTTGCTGTTAGAAATACTAGGATGCATCCCTCGTCTTTACAGCTGTGAGCAAGAACCTTGGCTTGAAAAATCGGTACCCTGCTGCAGGTTTCCCTAGGATTGCTAGAATCTCTTTGTAATGAGTCATTTCAATCTTTTAAAAAATAGACAATGTACAAATACTAGGAAATCTCAGATGAAGTTAGGTGATATTTAAAATGTACCATATTCTCCAAATGTTTTAGATAGGAAGCAGACAGGTGGTCAGTTGGTTAGTTCCAATACTGCCCAAAGAAAAGTGTGCTGAGTAGTTGACTCCTAATACCTTAATGTGTGAGATAAGCAGTTCATTTGGTTTCTCAGTTACCTTAGTAACATTATTTTATTCATGGTATCTTTTAATCTCATGGGATAAATTGCTTTATTTTTCTTACAACAATAACCAGGTCAGTTGCACAGTTTGACTAATACAGTATAAATAAGGAAAATCACAAACCACCTGGTAACTGTCAGCCTTGCTATAACATCCTCCCATATTCTCCATCTCAGCATCCCAGTGGAGTAGAGATTGACAGATGTACCCTGTAACCAGTGCTCATATCTTGGTCACACAGCCCTTTTTCTCTGAGATTAATACAATTCAGTAACTATTAGTCTGCCAGGCAAACACATGAGGGAAGGTCAGGCTAATTAAATATGTATACTGTTGGCAAAAGTTTTGCCCACAAAGAGCCCAAGAAAACTGCACTAAATCTAAGACAATAAGAGTTTTTCTCTTTTTGGTCCCCAAGGAAGAACAACAAACTAATGCAAACATACAATTAAGAAAGGGATAGGTGGCCATATAGACCACAAAGAATTTCAGTGGAGGACAAGGAGCCTCCCCACTCTTAACAGCTGCTCTCAGTTGCCTCCTTTGGGAACGAAGAAACATATGGTATTCAGAAAGTAGAAAGATACTGGGGAGAGATGAGTATTTTTGAACTCTGTCACTCTGTTCTATTGAGTCATTAAGAGTCAGCAGATGAGGAAATAGGTTTGAAAGAATAGGGACCATTGGAGCCGCTGTGCCAGTGTCCATGTCCTATGATGTGAAGGTCTGAGGATAGTCATCAGGGAGTGTGAGTGGATCTGTGTTCCCTGTCCCTCAGCACAGTGGCCTATGTTCACAGTGAGCTCATTTATGCCTTCTGCCTTGCCACTTGGTGGCAACAGGATTCATACCCCAGAACAGGAACTTTCGGTTCTTAACTGGCAGTGACAGATTGCTCAGGGTTCTCTTAATGTAGAGAGTTTTAAAGTCTTCTAAACAGCAACAGAAATTGAGAGAAAATATGCAAGAACTCCAGTACCATGTTTTGTCCTCTCTAGTAACTTCTATGCATTTATACAATTCTATATATTTGCACAAACTCAATGAAAACAAAACACTTTTTATTAAAGAAAAGAGATCTGATCCCTGACCATCTACCCCTCCCCTTTGCATGTAATTTCAGTAGCCATGACAATCATGCTCTTAGTTTCAACTTCCTTTTCCTGTGTTTAATACTGGCTTATTGTCACTATTTAACCTTTGACCTTTAATTTTTCTCTGCTCTTCCATTGTACCTAGTTAACTGTACTATATCTTTGTTTTTGAGTTTATATAGATAGGAAGCATCTATCAAGAATAATACAGTTGAGATTTTTTTAAGAATTGGTGTCACTGTATAGTCCAGACTGACCTAGAACTTGCTGTCTGTAATCTAGATTGACCTTTGATGCTCCATCTTCCTGTCTTAGTCTCCTGAGTGCTAGAATTACAGGTGTGTGCCCCTGCCCCCCAGTTCAAATCTCCCTTTTTGACAGCTGGTATTGAGCAAAGCTCTATTCTCTCTGAAGACTGATTTGTCTGGACTACTAATTTATTGGAGCCAGAAAGGTTATTTTGACTTCAGCAGAGAATTCCATTTACAAGATTTTTGTTTTGTCTTCCCAAAAAAGCAAGCCTGTCAACCTCTAATTACCATTGAGCTTGATGAATATGGATAGATGGTAGGTAGCAAGAGATTCCAAATTTTCATTAAAATTCACATAGATTGGGATATTCATATCTCACTGTTTACCTGAATTTGCTGAATTTCAGCATGTAGATATTTAGCTATGATTATAAATTTTAAAAAAAAGTTTAATTGCCTCAGCTAGACTAAACATACTAGATGGTCTATTCTCTTGATTTTCTAAGCAATGGCTGGTTGTCCTGCCAGCTGCTATTATAGTGTCTATTCTAAGATGGCCCTATCCTTCTTCATATACTGAAGCTTGTAAGGGATTATTCTCCCCACCCCTACCCCGACATTGCTGTTTTTATTTCCTGTGTCCTTGTTCTGGGCTTCTTATTCTAGAACATACCATAACCCATTAGCTGAAAAATTATCTTTTAATCTTCTGATTAAAGATTGCTTAATGGTAGTAACTTGTTTGTTTGGCTAGCTGCATGTTTTTCTTTTAACTGTAGTGTTTCTGTATTTTTGCATGGTTGTATGACACAGGTTGTTTTCTTTTTTTTTTTTTTTCTTTTTTCTTTTTTTTTTTTTTGCCATATTGTAATAATACTGCAGGTAGGCCTTTCAAAAAGAGTGGACTATATAAGTAAATAACACAGGTTGTTTTTTTTTTTTTTT